CTTACTGAAATGGCCATTGCCTTTTGTTGTAAACAAAGGAAAGCCCCATGGTTCAGTAAGACACACCCAAATGCAGCAGTCCAGGGTGGTCAATATCCCATAAACTGAGAAACTGCTACTAATGACAACTTTGCCGTCTATGTCTGGAGGTAATTGACAAAATAAAGAAATAAAAGTATACTTTTTTTAATTGGATTTGACTGACAATGTATGAGCGAATGCACAAAGCATTCTTGACAAAATATACTAAATTATTTATAATCTTTATTCTTTATATTCTAAATTCTTTAGTAGATCAGTGATAGTAGATTCTTCTTTATATATATATATATATATATATATATATATATATATATATATATATATATATATATATATATATATATATATATATATATATATATATATATATATATAAAAGGGCCATTCCATTAAAAATCACAAATCAGCCAAATTTCAGAAACTTCCCTGGCTCAAATTATTTATTTTGTTAATATTTTTTCTAAAGAAATACAAACATAAATAGTGATGAAAGCCAGTTTTCACATGAGATTTGGAGCCAAATAACAGAGGGGTAAAAAATGACTTTAGAAAGATGGCAGCATGCTTATTTTATTTGATTGTTATTTTTTTTTTTACACAGAGATTGGCTCTAGTAAAATCTATGTTTCATAAATCTATTAATCTTTTAGTAAAAATGTAATTATATTAGTAAAATCTGTTGACTTTAGCAATGTTTGTTGTATTAAATGCCAACGGTGACAGTTCAAAAATGGAAAAAAGCACTTCTTGTGTTTTTTGCCCAAGTTTGCCTGTGAAACTGGGGGATTGTGTTTAAAGAGGAATGTCTGAAGTATCTTGTTTCCCTTAATCAAACAATTACATATGACATTCCTATCTGAGTGCCAAAAATACACTGAAATGGTCAAGTTGATGCACATTAACTTGCTCTCAAAAGTGTATTTATAAGAATATTTGAATTAGTTTCAGAAAAAAAAGTGTTCATTTTAACAGCTTCTGAAGCTACCAAAAGTTAATTTGCTATAGTCAAATATGCAGTATCGTAACTACCGGATTGACATCCCAATATCTCTGGGATTGAACCATATAGTAGGGCATTAAAAATAAAGATTCCATAAGAAAATATATATATTTTTTTGCAACTCAAAGTTATTATGCAATTGTTTTCATAGAATGAAACAAGATACATTTCTAGTTTCAGTATTACTTGTTCTTCAGACATTCTTCTTTAAACACACATTTGGTTTTCGACCATTGAAAATGGTTAACGAGTTCTTTTGCCCATAAAATCTTTAAGATATTAGGTTAAACTTATTTGGCTTGCTGTCCGCTGGAGAGGGGCTCGATGAAGGAGCTTCAACTCGAGCTCTGATATACCCCCCAGTGGCTAAATGTAGGACCTGTTAATTAAAGGGCAAGGTACCTAAGATGAAGGTGGGAGTTTGGGGAGGTGGAGGGATACTGGAACAGCTGATAGGGAGAGGTAAGCGGCTGCTTATATACTCTGTTTGTTGATTGAAAGATTGGATGGGCTCGCTCCTCCCTAACTTACGTTTAGGAACTTCATGTAAAATTCAACAATTTGGAAATAGTGCAGCAATGGGATCCCCATATGGGATTGAACTACATTGGGCCTTAAAAATGAGGATTACAAAAGAAAAATGTTATGAAGAATGTGAATCTAGAAGGATATCAAGATATCTAATACTTCTTGATTTACAGGCACGCAAACTTTGAAACAATATTTATGGCACTCAGACAGGTATTCCATGCAATTGTTTTGATAGAAAAAACGAGATACATTTCAAGTTTCAACATTATTTTTTCTTCCGATATTCCTCTTTAAAAGAAAAAGCATCAGTCGTAGCCTATGCAAAGTGACCCACATTTGGTTTTTGACCACTGAAAATGAATGTACCAATTTATTCATAGAGCCACATTGAAATCCCCTGGAAATGAACCATATTTGGCCTTAAAAAATAAGATAGCTACCATAAGAAAAGTTCATTATGTACCAGAATCTAAAATGATCTTTAAATACTTCTTGAATTACATCTTTCTAAAGCCATTTTACCCTCCACCCTTTAGTGTATTTCTCAGTAAATTTCAATCCATAACATTTCATATTTGGGCTTTCTTCTTCATTTATGTATTTCTTTGACCAGAATTTTTTTTTTTTTTACGAAATGAAAAAATATTTATCTAGGGACCTCTGGTTGATTTGACACAGAATGACCCAAATGTAATTTCCATGCTTTGAAAAAGAGTGTGACAAGTACCAATGGTACTTGATGACAACTTTTAGATCTCTTATTTACAACCAACAAGGCAAAAATGAAGACACAAGAACAAAATAAAAGACATGTAAAATACATTTAATTCCTGAATATTTGGGCAACAAAACCAGACCAAAATCTACAATTGGTGCATCAGGGTAGAGATTTGAGCGACAGCTGTCAATTTGGGTATCAAATAAGTATGAGATCCTTACAACACAAAGGTTATATTTGATAGTGTTCAAATACCTTGATGTGTTTTAACTACAGCAGTTATTTGCATAAACAACTGTTTCACCTTCATATATGTAATAGTTAGAAGATCATGCTCGACCTGTCAGGACCCCCTAAATTTCTTACATGCTTCAACTGAAATCAATGCTGAGGTTCTCTCTCTTTTTTTGACAAGTACCAGGAAAAAGATAACACAATTAAAGGCATACATTGTCTTTACATGGTCATTAGTATACTATATAGCTGTACAAGACACTTTTTAAGCATATCAGCATAGGCAATATGTGTTAACAGGACAGGGTTGCATAATGTATGAAGTAGCCTAAATCACAAATCTGATGGCATTTATACATCACATCAGGTAGGGGGGCGCTTCGTATTAGTGCGGTCTAGAAGAATAAGTGCACGATAGACATGTACACAGGCATAGTAAGGGTGTGTAATCACCAGTAAAAGTGAAACATCTTTGCGCCACCTAGTGAAAGTGGCACGGTATTACAGCAACTACATCTGTGATAGAGGTGGCAGTGAAGAGAGCTTGTCCATTCTATAACCATTCAAGCCTGTCCATCTGAATTCACTGTCAACATATAGCATACATGTACATTCACACAAAGTTGAGTGATATTACACATTATAGGCACCCACAAGATAACCGGGCCTAATTTGGAGCCAATTTGTCCCTTCCGACAATCCTAGGTAAAGTCCCGATTATTAAAGTAATTAAATTAAAGTCCCGATTACCACGTTTGACCGTGAGATTTTGCGAGATTTCTCCTGCTCACACTCACAGTCGGGACTCTGGTTGTTTGTGAATAAAATCTGTTAGTGAGTGGTGTGCTGTCTTGGTCAGGTCGCAGAACTCCACTTATTATAGGAACTTTATCGTCATGTTTCTGGTCTATCACATTTTGATAAAGTGATAAAGGGTTAGGGGGTTTCATTTATTCATTAAGGCTGTTAGGTATGTAATGTATGATCCTCTCCATGGCTGTGATTACTGTAAAGAGAGGCAGAACTTGACTGGGGCAGTAATCCTTAATGGGTCCAACTCCTTGTATGGGAAAACACATTGCACTATATTAGTCTTATAGAACATAAAAAGATAGTAGATTTTAGTGGGCATCAGGAGCTCTGTGTTTACAGCTTTCTACAGCAAAACGCCGATCTAGGATCAGCTCTTTCGTCCATGTGATTCCACATACAGGAAATACAATGATCATAGATCAGCGCCCTTTCTGCCATTAAAGGAATATTACAGGTTCAATACAATTCACAGGTTAAGCTCAACAGACAGCATTTGTGGCATGTTGTTGCCACAAACTAATTCTGGCTGCGGCGAGACACTTAAAATGGAAGTGAAAGGGGCACATTTCTGGAGAAATGTGAAGCTTGTGTACTTTTATAAAAGCACTAATGTTTCTGTTAAAAAGTTTAAAAGTAGTTGTTTTTTTTTATGGTCATTTTAAGGTTTTAGATTTAATTTCTCATGGCAACTAAGTTGTAAAATTGGATACAACTTTACACAGAAAAAAAAAGGTTTTCACATTAAAATCATGTCAGCATGCATGTTATTTGCGTCTTGAGGCTATACGATTGAATATACTATATAACATTTTTGCGATTCGGCCCCATTCATGCAAGTACTTTGCTGTAAACCAGATTGTAGCTGTTTTTGAAGAAAATGAGGTACAGTTAATTTGGAAAAGTGCTGTCTACTGATATTAATTTCTACTGAATCCGGAATATACATTTAAGCTCTGTTTGCACCGACTGAGCTCTACTGAATGGCATAGTGTAAGAAGCAAACGTAGTGCTCGTCAACTCTGTAATGTTAAGTATACTTCCCCTGTCCGCGTGGCACATGTAGCCCGATTATTGTGTCTGCACGAGTGATTTGAGCGCTAGATAAAGGTCAACCTGGTAGTGCACGCGCACGGTCAATAGAGTGTACTTTCTCGCTCAACTGTGCGCTAGAAGGAGCTGAACGCGGAAAACGAAGTATATCCGGGTCTTTAAACATTTTTCAATCTTTGCATTCTCACCTCCAATAAGCACTGTATTCTGACTTTCTCTCACCTAGCTAACACTGTTTATTTAGTGGTTTCTCAGGAAGAAACGTGTACATAGAAGCAGCAGTCTCAGAGAAGAAGATGGACAGGAGTGTTCAATACGAGATTCATGCTTATTCAGCCATACAGGGCTGCAAATATATACAGTTTATACATGTACATACGAAAAGAATGATAGTAACCGATAGCAATAGCAGAACAGTTAACACACAAAATAAAACTACAAGCAAATAAATGTATCCATCCTTCATTTGATAATGTACTGTGTTGTGTGTGTGTGTGTGTTTATAAGTCTACTGCTAAAGCTACAGATCGGAACTAGTCATCGCCAACTACAGCGTAAACAATAGCAAACTAGTTGTTGGTGGTTCCACTGCCGTATTTAAACAAAAATGCACAAAAATTGTTCTGAGACTTTAGGACCAGGACAGAGTGACTATATTATAAAACGATGGTAGATACAAAACAAAATAGGAGATGGTAGATATAAAACAAAATGATTTTTTTTTTGGCTGATGTTTTTAAAGGACATATCTTGCCCCTGTGTTTCAGTAAACAGGGCTGTTCCTGATACCGCAGCAGAGCACCATGCTGAAGATCATCTCGAAGATCTAGAAAGGAAAAAGGGCACAATAAAGGTAAAATGTGATGCAAGTAACATCAAAAGATAGTAGACTGTAACTTGACACACAGGCCCCTATAGAAACACACTCAAGAATCGCTCACCATGATTACAGCAACAACCAGGGCAGCGATGCCAATCAGGTAGATCTTCTCTGAGAATAGCTCTTTGATCTTGGAGTGACAGCTCTGAAAAACGGAGAAAACGGGTTTTTGTCATGCTATAAGAGATGATTTGGATGAGAATTCTTCATCTCAAGGGTTTACTGGGGAGGGGGGGGGGGGGGGCACTTACTACAGCCTTAAGTTTCAAATCTACAGGACAGATGTCTGTGAGCCACTTTTCAGCAAAATCTAGCAATGAGTTTCCTTTGCCACAGCAGTGAAGCTGAAAGCCAGAGATGACACTGATTAGAGATGCGTCTTTACAACATTATCTGGTTTGAGTTGAGTCTGTGTTAGCTTGATTATTGTTGTGCTCCTCAGTACACGAGGACTACTTACAGTCTCGTGAAACACCTTCAAGACAGTAGCGGCAGCCTGCTGTTTTTCAGTTTGTCCGATTGAAAATGCATTGCCTCTGTCATACACAGTGTCATAGAAACTAATCATCTCTTTGGAGATCTGAAAGGAAAAAGAAGAAGATATAATTACAAAAATATGTAAACAGATGTAGATGTGTCAGCTTGACATATGAAACCAACCTGGTCTTTGTGCATGAATCCCCAGATTCCAGCAGCAACCTCACAGGCAAACAGAATTACCAGGCAGGCAAAGAACTGTTGGAGAGAAACAAAAAAGGATGTGTACTGCATATGGGCAAGAGTCTGTTCTCAGTACAGTGCAAGACCCCAAACTTACTAACAGTAGTGTTAAACGGTCAGCAATTGTTAAAATAATGACAAAGTGATGGCACCATAACAAGTTCAGTGAATACTTGTAAAAAAAAAAAAAAAAAAAAACGCAAACAGTGTTGCTCTCATTTTTTTTAAAGTGGGGTTTTACAGTACATTCTATTAATATATACTTCCAGTTATTGTTGGGCATCATGTGATTTGAGGAATTTGCTGAGTGGTCACAGGATTAGTTACTCACTGTTCCGAGAAGACACTGGGATTCCTGTATGGCTCCATAACAACCAAGGAATCCAACAAACATCATCACAGCGCCAACAGCAATCAGGATGTAGACACCTACAAAACGAAAAGCATGCGTGTTATCCTAAAGGAATATCTACTATCCTTAAACAAAAAACTGAGATCACAGAGGGAGCCATGAAGCTCAGTTGGTTAGATGCTTAATTAATCTGAACAGACAAACTAGATTTGAAAAGTCATCCAATCAAAATAGTTTATATATCGAGGGTGCATTACTTCTTCGTGACCAGCAGGAGACACTGTGTGTTCACTTTGATAGGGTGGTAAGTTTACTTTAAGCAGAAGGAAAACTGCAGGACATTTGGAAGTCATACTAAGAGGCCCAAATTAACTTTTTGTTTCCATTCCCTCATTCACATATAAAAAAAAAGCCTTCAGTTAATAGCAAATCAGGGTTCTTATGTAACATGACGTGCACTGCAAGAAGGAAAAAAATAATAATAAAAAGAGAGCTGTGGAGTTAAACATTCAACAGCTTTCTCAGAAAGAAAGAACTCTTTTTTCCAGTGTTTACATCGGTTAGTAACACAGGCTCAGTGATAACTGCTGTAACCATAGCAACCCCAGTAGGCCTTGGGGCGCAGCAGCAGTGTTTGCATGGATGTTCACATGGCAGAGCATAGAGGGACAGAGAAAGAGAGAAATAGAACAGAAAACTCTCTCTTAAGAAACAATCAGCCACACACAAACTGAAATCGTTGTGACTCAGCATGCAGAATAATGAGTGAGCATGAATTATCTTGCAACTGTATTTTCCTCTTTTGTAATACCTCTCCCCTCCTCTTGCAAGTTAGATTCTGTTTTTTTTCTTGTTCATTTACCATTGATATTTAAATGTTTTGTTTGTTGCAAGGTTATTATAGTTTTTATTTTAATAGCATTTTCAAATTTCAGTTTAGTTTGAGTTAGTTTCATTAATGGTTTTGTTAATTTTAGTTTGGTTTTTATTTTGTGAACACATTTCTATTTAGTTTTTATATATTTAGTTTCAGTTTTAGTAATTACAGTTTAGCAGAGTTAACAGAAAACTTTGAGTTAGACGTTTCATTTCAGGGAAAAAAAATGTGTATATTATCATAATTATTCTTTTATGGTTATTTCTATGATGGATCCTTTCAAATATTATTCTTGTATTGATCCATTTATGCTTTTTGTCTATTGTAGCTATATTTTAATATCATAGGCTACTCATATTCATGTGTTCTATTCAGACCAGACATTTAGGGTGTACTCACACTAGGCACGGTTGCCATGAACCGGGCCCGAGTACGATTGTCCCCCCTCCCCACTCCCCCTCTGGCCTGCACTCACATAGGGCAGAGCCATAGAGAGAAAGAGTTGCGACACTCTCAGATGTCGCCGCGACGGCTGTCACGTGGTTCATGTAAGCTCCAATAGTTCCAAAATGTACGCGGCCTGTCATGTTCTTATATGGACAGACAGCAGCGATTGCATTATTAAACGGTAAATATAAAATAAAACACACACCCAAGTACTTTTTAAGCTGTTATTGCGTTTTGTTAATGTCAGTTTTGCATTTGGAGAGGCAGGGTGACAACTTAGATAAGTTTTAGGCTATATTTTTGGAGGGAAACGCTAGTGTTCATGTTCGCATGGGTAGTAATAGCACTGGCTTTAGCGGCTCTAACTTAACTTTTCCATGTCATTCATCTGATGATGGACGTCTCATGATATTTATTTTAGCACAACTGGGCTGTATTAGGCTATTGATTCCCGTGATCTTGCTTATAAATTCCGCTTCGTGATCACGCAAAGAGGTCTGCGGTCCGTTCAGAATTCCAACCAACATAAAATATAAATAATTACGCTGTGCATGTACAAATGAATGATTTAGGAGGGAATAGACTGCTCCCATAACGTAGAAAGCAACGACTATATACAGCAATGTTCGGTAAATATTCAACCGAAAAATATTCTTCATAAAATTAAACCGGAGAGATAGTTAATGAGTGAATTAACTATGTTCCTAAATACATATAAGCACATGCATAGCCCTAACCCATTTAAATAAATGAATTGTGTGTGTGTGTGTGTGTGTGTGTATGTATATAATATATATAGGCTATATATATATATATATATATATAAAATATTATTAAAAATATTATATATTATACATCAGGTTACCACTTACCAGTTAGCTAACGTTAGTGAAGTGTTGGTCACGTAAGCTATCGCTGCAATTAACCTATTATCTTCCAATAAACATTTACTAAAACTGGCTACATAAAATATAACTACAGACTAGATTCACGAGAGGTCGGCTAATGTGTGTAAAAGTAAAAAAATACAGTAATTTCATTCATTTACCAGCGAACGTACTTCGGAAGCACTGAAAATGAATGGGGTTCAATGGGGGAACTATCAGTGTTTGGAACTATTGGCTGCTCCACGACACGCGTTACTTCCGCATTCCAAAGTTCCTATGGCGGTCTATGGGAGTGTCGCAACTCTGACATAGGGTTTCAGCATTCGTGCCGGAGCACGCTTACGTCATTATGGTGCGACGGTTTCGGGATAAACAAGAAGAGCGGCTGTGCCGACTTTAAGTGAAAGTAAGCCTCGTACTTTGGGATATGGCCCAACACAGTGCACGCGCGCGCACTGGAATAACGTTACCGCGATATAAATAGCGCGTTCACGCCCCCACTGTTCTTTTCAATGCGCGTATTAAAGTTTCATGCGCAGAGACCGAGCAAGCCGTGCCTGTTCCGTGCTCCAGCACGGTTAGCGCTCACACTGCATGCGAACCGCGCCCGAGTCCAACTGAACCGTGCTCTGGCCCACCTCTTCCAAGCGGGCCAGGGCCGGCTAATCGAGCCGCGCCCGGGCACGGTTCGGAGCACTCACACTAGTCAAACGAACCGCGCTTTGGTGGTCAAACGCACTCGGGCACGGTTCAAACTGGCTAGTGTGAGTACACCCTAAGTTTACTTCTGTTCTGAAAAGTATGTCCATCTGTGGGCTAGACATGCGTTTTTTTTTCTGAAGTGTGGTATCTTGTTTATCATTAAAGGGATACTCCACTTTTTTGGGAAATAGGCTCATTTTACAACTCCCCCAGAGTTAAACTGTTGAGTTTTACCGTTTTTGAATCCATTCAGCCGATCTCCGTTTCTGGCCGTACCACTTTTAGCATAGCTTAGCATACATCATTGAAGTGGACAAAACCATTAGCATTTCTCAAAAAAAAAAATGACCAAAGAGTTTCGATATTTTTCCTATTTAAAACTTGACTCTTCTGTATTTACATTGTGCACTAAGACCGACAGAAAATGTAAAGTTGCGATTGTCTAGGCTGATATGGCTAGGAACTATACTCTCATTCCTGCGTAATAATCAAGAAACTTCACTGCCGTACCATGAGAGCAGCAGGCGTAATGATATGACGCAGCGCCTGAAAATAGTTCCGTTGTGTTGACGGAAGGTGGCCTATTTTCAGGCGCTGCGTCATATCATTACGCCTGCTGCTCTCATGGTACGGCAGTGAAGTTTCTTGATTATTACGCAGGAATGAGAGTATAGTTCCTAGCCATATCAGCCTAGAAAATCGCAACTTTACATTTTCCGTCGGTCTTAGTCCACGATGTAACTACAGAAGAGTCGAGTTTTAAATAGGAAAAATATCGAAACTCTTTGGTCATTTTTTTTTTTTGAAATGCTAATGGTCTTGTACACTTCAATGATGTATGCTAAGCTATGCTAAAAGTGGTACCGCCAGAACCGGAGATCGGCTGAATGGATTCAAAAACGGTAAAACTCAACAGTATAACTCTGGGGGAGTTGTAAAATGAGCCTATTTCCCAAAAAAGTGGAGTATCCCTTTAAGTTTCACATGAGATGGTTATCTTACCTTGAATTAAGGTACAGCTGTATTTGCATTTAATGAGACATGATGGAAATTCTCATGGCCATTTTGGCTTCTAAGGCTGTGGTTCACTTGCTGGTTTGCTTTGAAAAACACGAGACGCGGGCAGTGGAATGGGGGAAAAGCAGAAGGTCTCAAGACGTGTCTTTTTAAAAGTTGAACTTATTTTAACTTGAGTGCCGTGTTTTAGAACGCCGTGTCATGTGCGAGACGCCGCAAAAGACGCGATCGCAACAGTCGCGTGTTTACATTGAAAAATAAAGTAGGCCTAACGCAGCCCAATGTGGAAAAATGTGATTTTTCCGGTACAGATTGAGAGCTTATTAATTACGAAAACGATTTTTTATTTATGCTAATTATATGATTATTTTATTTCAGTATTATTTCGTTTTTCAGTAACTGTTGTTAGTTTCGTTTCGCTTTAGAAATTACTATTTTATTTCAGTTTACGAAAATGTTTTTTGACCAGTAGTTTTAGTCTTAGTTTCAGTTTTCGTTTACGAAAATAACCTTGGTTTGCTCTTGTTTATTTTTGTTTGTTATTAACATCATTAGCTATTATTTCTTCTCTTCAACAATAAAAAATGCATACGTAAACAAAACAACAAGAATCCAATTGAGTGAACTGTTCTGGAAACTGTTTTGTTTGACTGATTCTATCTTGTCAATCACTTCATGCAGAGGTGGAGCACACATTCTTACTTCTACATGAACTTCTCCTGAATTCCCAACCCAAAATCAAGCAGTTTTTTGCTAAAAAAAAAGTCCAAACAACACCCTTTATTTTTGTTACAATGCATACTTCAATCATACATTTTATTATTTCTAAGCCTATATTTCAACAAAAGCTATTTTTGTGTCAGCAAAAATTTTATAAAAATGTGCTTTACATTGTATCATCTAAATGGACTGATTTTAAGTCAGAAAAAAATGATTTAATATTACTGAATCAATACATCAGGGTTCCAATGACAAATGCAACTTTAACAGATTAAGCAGAAATAGCTCAAAGTCTGCATAAAATCAAAAGTAACTTGGATCCACAGGAAAAAAAAATGTCCTTGGTAATCTGGTCAAAATCTGAAATTTTGTCAGGTTTACTCGATTCTATCTTGTCAATCACTTCGTGCAGGGACATTCGGCACAC